GAGCAGCGGAGTCTGACTGACGATACTGCCCCGGGAGATGGGTAGCTTGACACCTGCTTCCCCCACCATTGATCTAAGACTCTTTGCCGAACAACGATTGTTTTATTCAGGATTTGAGACTACAACACCAGGCCAATCAAACTCTTCTATTTGTCTTTGAAGGCCAGGGTAGCAGGTCTCTATATATATATATATATACCTTGTGCCTCCAAACACGACAAAAACGTAGGGTTCATCCCAAAACACGAGGTTCTTGGAGGAAACACGAGGTTTCCCATTTTGGTGTTTTTTTCCGCCCATGCCATCTTCGAAGGCCGGGCCACAGGAACTTGAATTCAAACTCAAAAAGCCCAGGTTGATGATCAGAACGAAAAAAATCTCAACCAAAAATGCAACTATTGTACCCCCCTAAAACCCGTGAAAAAAAAAACACGGGTTGTCACGGTATAGTCACGGGTTTGTCACGGGTTCGTCACGAGTTTGGGAAACATGATGTTTTTCTGAAAACCCAAGGTTTTTCATCCAAAATCACGGGTTGACACGGGATGATCACGGGTTTGACACGGGTTTGTCACGGGTTATCGGAGCTCTCAATAACGGACCCGAACTTTTCCTGACAAGAGTGTTGAATGTTTTTAACATATTGTGAATTACACCACCGTAGACCCCAAACAGTTTGTGTTTTTCAAAATCGAAACTAGAGCTTGCGACGTCCAGAGCTGGGAGACAAAGGATTGCAAGGCAGAGGCGGCCACAGCAGCCCAGAGCTGGGAGACGAACGTAAAGGATTGCAAGGCAGAGACGGTACAGAGCGGGCGGACACATCTTAAGAAAGAATTGAGAAGCCCTGACAGTAAACCTTTTGGGGAATTATTCTTCAAGTGCGAACATGATGCTGGTCATGCTGCTCAATCAGCAAGGAGCTGACCACGTGAGGACAAGAAATAGAAGCATGAGGAGCGAAGGATGTGACATGAAATTGATTTTTGGTGCCTGACGCATGCCCTCCGTCCCAACTGAACAGAGAGATCGCTGCCACGCCGCCGAAATCCAATCCGGTCATTCATCCAACGCTTGCCCGAAAAGGAAAACAAAGCTGAGAGAGTTACACAGTGTGGCAGAAATGCACTCCCGGAGACAGTCACGCGGCAGAAAACAGCAGTGCAGGCACCAAAACCTGAAAGACAAAAAGAAAGAAGTCGCATGGGAGACAAATGAATAGAAATGCTACATGGCCAGCGGAAAAGGGCGGCAGCACCAATGAATAGAAATGTTGCATCGCCAGCGGAAAAGGGCGGACACCAACAGTGACAGACCTGGGAGACTAATGCATGGCCGCAGAAAAGGGCGGACACAGCAGTGATGGTAGACACATGAATAGAAATGCTGGATTGCCTGCGGAAAAGGGCGGACACCAGCAGTGACACACCTGGGAGACAAATGAATAGAAATGCTTCATGGAGGGCGGACACCACCAGTGACAGACCTGAAAAACAAATGAATAGAAATGCTACATGGCACCAGCAGTGACGGACCTGGGAGACAAATGAATAGAAATGCTTCATGGCCAATAGACAAGGACACACCAGTGACAGACCTGGGAGACAAAAGAATAGAAATGCTACATGGCCAGCGGAAAAGAGCGGACATCACCAGTGACAGGCCTGGGAGACACATGAATAGAAATGCTGCATGACCAACGGTCAAGGGCGGACACCAGCAGTGACAGACCTGGGAGATGAATCGAAATGCTGCAGGGCCAGCGGAAAAGAGCGGACACTGGCAGTGACAGACCTGGGAGACAAATGAATAGAAATGCTACATGGCCAACGGAAAAGGGCGGACACCAGCAGTGACAGACCTGGGAGACAAATGAATAGAAACAGCAGAAAAGGGCGGACACCACCAGTGACAAGCCTGGGGGACAAATGAATAGAAATGCTGCATGGCCAGCGGAAAAGGGCGGACACCAGCAGTGACAGACCTGGGAAACAAATGAATAGAATGCTGCATTGCTTGCAGAAAAGGGCGGACACCACCAGTGACAGACCTGGGAGACAAACGAATAGAAATGTTGCATCGCCAGCGGAAAAGGGCGG